GTAGTAGTAGTAGTAGTAGTAGCAGTAGTAGTAGTAGTAGTAGTAGTAGTAGTAGTAGTAGTAGCAACAATCGCAAAGGCAAGATTAACAGGAATGGACACGGAAGCGTCTATAATCACGTCAGCCAACTCTGAGGACAACGAACGATGAAGATGGGACCTCGCTGTTTGAGAACCGCGTATCATGGGGGATAGCTAAGGAGTTGCTCTCATCCCAAGCGATGCCTGGATGGAATGTGGATATAGTACCACCGAGTGATTTGGAGATAGAGGAAGCATGCAAGAGGTTGAAGAATAACAAAGCGGCGGGGATCGACTTGATAACTGGGGAAATAGTTAAACAGTCTAGCACAGTTAGATCGGAATTGTCGGTCCTGATTAGAGGATTCTGGAATGGGGAAGAAATAGACGAGGAGTGTAAAACTGCGATCCTTGTACCTCTATTTAAGAATAAAGGAAGTAGGTCGGATCCTAAGGCGTATAGGGGCATTTCCTTACTGCCCATAATTGAACGTATCGTCTCATTAATAATGCTGAACAGGATTCAAACACCTTTAGAGTGTCATCTACTCCCTCAGCAGTATGGTTTCATAGGCGGGAAAAGCTGTCGGGACCCGGTTCGAACGGTGTTTAGACGCATACAGAACAAAGGAGGGTATGTGTCCATGTTTGTAGACTTTCAGAGAGCTTTTGATACATTGAGGTGGGACAGTGTGTTCGAAATACTACGTTGGGCCGGTTGCCCTACTGAGCTGACGGATGTGATTAAACGACTGTATGTTGGATCGAAAATATCTCTGCGTATTGATAGTAATGGCAGATTTGGCACACCTTTCCAGCAGGGAATGGGAGTGAGACAAGGATCTTGCCTGAGCCCGGCAATCTTCGTACTCATCCTTGACTTTTGTATGAGGGCATTTCAGTCGGCTTGTGTGGAGCTTGGAATAAAAATGAAATGGGCGGCGTACGCAGATGATCTACAGATTATAACAGACGATGTTGAAACTGCGGAACGGGCATTGTGGGAGCTTCAGGCTGCGGCAGCTCTAGTAGGGTTGAAAGTGAATGCATCCAAAACGGAGAT